TAACTCCGGTTAAACTTCTGACGCTGACACTCATTACATTAGAAGCAACTCTGTGATGTAAGTATGTCACTCTCTATTAGGTCAATGACAGCCTATTATTTCATTATTGTGTAGGACTGATCCAATGTTTACTATATCAATCTGAAAGATTTTTTTCGCCCTTAATAAGCTCAAAATGTTTTTTGTAAGGATATATCCAAGATGCTCTAAATAATCCACATCAAAATATGTTTGGTTTTTGCATTCATGTTTTCTTAATTGTGTTTTCCTCTCTTTTCAGACATCGCGCAATATTGGCAGTTGATAGTTGGTCTGTTCGTTATTTATTTGTATGATTGTGCTGTTGTTACGTTGATTAAAATTGAAAAGAAACATTTGCAATCTTCTTTATTTTTTTAAGAAGGGGTTTTGTTGATTTGATAACATAAGTTTTGGAAATATTCAAACTGATTTTCATTTTCATAATTCTTCCATACTATTATAACTTTCGCTTTGTCGTGCCTTGAAAACACAACCACACACACAAAAACTCATTTGAAGTAGGAAAAGGCGTCTGAATTCATGTTTGTTGAAATCATACTATAAACTTTCATTTCAATTCAAAGTCTTTTGAATTGTTTCCAGACGACTCGGCAATTCTGTTAAAAAGGATGGAAAATTTGTTTACAATTTAACATCACATCAGAACAAGATACGATTGTATTGTATTTCTTTGGTATGAATATAGATTCCTGCTAATATCGATGTCTTTAAGTGAACTTCTTTCTATTGACAATACTTTAATCAGAAACCAGCTGCTCAAAGACATATGCTAAAGTAGTATCTGTCCCATTGGCATTCTTATTGACTATGAAAGTCAACCGAAAGTAGTTTCATTGATTATTTTCCGTTTTATTCCTTTGTTTCTTTTCCATGATTTCTTTACCTGCACTGATCGTTTATGAGTATATAATTATTCTAGAACAGCAAACCGGGAACAATAATAATGACGTCAACAATCTGGTTGTGAAAATCATAGCTACTTTAGTAAATTAACAATGAAAACATATTATGATAATGTAGATTCACTCATGTATTACAAAATGTCGTGAAAATGAGTTTTTTTAGAAATTTGAAGATGAGATATTTTGACAAGGTAAACCTATACTTTCACAATTTTGTCATAAGTAATTGTATTACTTATTAACAAGACAGATTTTCTCACAATCCAACAATAGCTGATTATACTACCAATTGATTAGACACACACTCTCACAATCAAACAATAGGTGATTATACTATCAATTGACTAGACACACACTCTCACAATCAAACTTTTTTAAATGAAGGAATCAAAGCAAAATAAAATGTTACCGCATCATATGGTAATTTCGTCCAGTTAAAACTTATCGAAATTAGTTAATGTCAAAAGGTGAAAAATCTATGTCTAAGGTGTTCCGAATTTTATGTAAAATAGAGCGGAAAAAGGAAAGCTGTTTTTAATAACAATTTTCGGGTACAACATATATTTTTTACTTAATGTTTATTGTCTGTAAACCATGCCGGAATGAATTCCAGCCACAATGATAGAGGCAACCTCAGCCAGTGTTTTGTATATATATACAAAGTCGTACCAAATTAATGCAGTATACATATAAAGTCATACCATCATTATTTCAGTATATATACAAAGTCATATCAAATTGATTCAGTATATATACAAAGTCATACCAACATTAATTCAGTATATATACAAAGTCATACCAAATTAATTCAATAAACATACAAAGTCATACCAACATTAATTCAGTATATATACAAAGTCATACCAACATTAATTCAGTATATATACAAAGTCATACCAATATTAATTCAGTATATATACATATTCATAACACATATTTCAGTATATATACAAAGTCATACCAACATTAATTCAGTATATATACAAAGTCGTACCAACATTATTTCAGTATATATACAAAGTCATACCAACATAAAACCAGTATATATACAAAGTCATTCCAAAATTAATTCTGTTTACATACAAAGTCATACCAACGTTAATTCAGTTTATATTCAAAGTCATAACAACATTAATTCAGTTTATATACAAAGTCATACCAACATTAATTAAGTATATATACAAAGTCATATCAACTCTAATTTAGTATATATACAAAGTCATACCAACATTATTTCAGTATATATACAAAGTTATACCAACATTAATTCAGTATATATACAAAGTCGTACCAACATTATTTCAGTATATATACAAAGTCATACCAACATAAAACCAGTATATATACAAAGTCATTCCAAAATTAATTCTGTTTACATACAAAGTCATACCAACGTTAATTCAGTTTATATTCAAAGTCATAACAACATTAATTCAGTATATATACAAAGTCATACCAACATTAATTAAGTATATATACAAAGTCATATCAACTCTAATTCAGTATATATACAAAGTCATACCGAAACAAAGTCATTCCAACATTAATTCTGTATACATACAAAGTCATACCAACATTAATTCAGTTTATATACAAAGTCATATCAACTCTAATTCAGTATATATACAAAGTCATACCGAAACAATGTTATTCCAACATTAATTCTGTATACATACAAAGTGATACCAACATTAATTCAGTTTACATACAAAGTCATACCAACATTAATTCAGTTTATCTACAAAGTCATTCCAACATTAATTCTGTATACATACAAAGTCATAC